GGATGCACATAGAATTTTAGCTTCTCTCTGACCTCTCACTCAGCTGTCTCCACACGCACAGTGTTCTCTTCTAGTATTGGACTGACTGTTTTATTGCTTATCTTGTTGAACTTAGGTCAATGTCTTGTATCTATTACATACGTGAGCAGAATGTCTGTTAAATTGTTATGTAAGTAATTAAAATAATTAATATAGCCTTTATGGAATAGGTACATATGTGTGAGTCTGGAAAACATAGAAATCTAGTACCTTATGACTGTTTTTGAAATGGCAGTGCATGAGCTTTTAACCAAATTGCTTTTTCTAGGAATGGCGCTCTTCCTCAAGAACGTGGCGTTTCATGGGATACTACTAGATGCAATTTTTGAGGAGGGAAACCAAGAGTGGGAGGTAGTATCAGAGTTGTTGAAGAAGGGTATAAAAGACGGTGTGGTAAAACCCCTGAGGACTACAGTCTTCAACAAAGAAGAGGTAGAAGCTGCCTTCAGGTTCATGGCACAGGGAAAACACATTGGCAAAGTTATGATCAAGGTAATGAAATTTTGATTCTGTGCTTCATCTGTAATCCTGTGTAGACGAATTGGATTGAAATAGTCAGTGTAGCCAGGTTATAGTCCCCTAACTAGGACAACACATCTAGAGTTCTATTTCTTTTTGCTGACACTGTAACACATGTAGCTAAGGTCCGTCACTCTGATCTAGAAATCTGGCCCCCACCGGCTAGAGGAGTGTAGTTCTATGTGGAAAGACAGACAATGTGTTGTGTATTTCATCACATCTCGTTATTGTTTTATTGGAAGGTCAAAGAAGAAGAGAAGGAATATCCTTTAAGAAAGTCTGAACCAGTCAAATTTTCTGCCATTTCTCGAACTTCCTGTCCGTCTACCAAGTCTTACATAATCACAGGGGGGCTAGGAGGATTTGGGCTTGAATTGGCACAGTGGCTAATTGAGAGAGGAGCACAGAAGCTTATACTGACATCTCGTTCTGGCATACGAACTGGTAAGTAAAGACCAGTTGACTGTCTTTCAACTGACCCTGATCTCTCTTCAATCTCTCCCTTGAAGTTTCTGTCAGCAAATATGAATGTCATCATATTCCTTGTTCCTTCT